TTTCATTTAACCACATCACATGAAAGCAAAACAATATTTTCTTGTGATATGTTTTTTTTTAAAGAACATTAGGTATTGTGGGCTTGCTTGTATATTCCAAAACAGTTTAAATGCCCTAAGATAGTGTCTTTTAGTTTTAATCACTCAGAGAAATGGATATCTTTAACACCTTCTCATTGCTGGCTCCCACCTGTGGCTGAGGAAATCTCCAGAGTTGCTCATGCCCAACTGCCTCCCAACCTGCAGCTCCGGAGAGTCTGGCTCCCCAGGGTAGGTGCTGGAGGACAGCATCCAGATGCTTGCTTCAGGCATCTCTTTCCCCTCCCAGTGAACTAGAAGTAAAGTCAGCCTTGCTGAATGTCCTCCTCTATCTTTTAGGCAATCATAAGAATTCCTTTCCCCCATGTGTATGGCTGTATAATTTTCCTTCTTTCAACATTGTTTCATATCTGGTTTCTCCTCAGCATATCTTCATCCCTCAAAAACAACCTGTGATTGCCTGTGATCAGAATCTATATTTATGTACATGAGTACTTATTTTTTCACAGCCAGTGAGTTCCTTTGATGAGTGTGTCATTTTAGTAAATCAGTTTGGTACCCATATTATGCAGCTAGCTTGGCTTGAAAAATCTCAGATATAGTGTTATTCAACCTGTAGTAATTTGATGAAAATATTGAAAGATCTGTCTGTTAAATATATGTTGGGCTCCTGTAATATGCGGGATACAGTTCTCAATGTTGACTATTCAGTGATAAGCAAAAATACACTGTCCCTATTCCTGAGTAATATGGAGGGTGGTGAAGCAGGAGGACATCATTCAGCCACACACATACAAATGTGTAGATATACACACACATGCATGCACACTGATTCCATACGGGTTAGTATGTGAACATAGAAATTGCTATGAAATAGTGTAACAGTGCATTTTGGGCTTCAGCAACAAAATAGCATAAACTAGGTGTGTATAAACAACAGAAACTTACTGCTCACAGTTCTGTGTCCACCAAGAGCTTGCTTTCTCATACTTGGCACACTCCATTTCTGTCTGTTTGCTCTTACACAAGAGGAGGGAGAAAGATATCTCTGACCCCTCCTTTATAAGAGCACTAATTAGAGTCATGGAGGCTGCATCTTTATGCAGAAGTAGTAGTCCCTCACAGCACCCCCTCTTTTGAGGGCTAGGTACAACATTTGACTTGGAGATTTTGAGATAGCACTGTTTTCACCTCTGCCACAAACAGTGACATTTCCAACATAGATGATGGCAAAGAGTTAAGAGATGCTATTTCAGAAATGGGAAAATTAGACAAAGACCAAGGAGGCCAGTCAGGGGAGGGCTCACAAAATGAATTATGACGTTTAGAAACTGGTTTGAGATTAAGTCACAAAATGACTCTATGTATCAGAAGAGAAGTGACAGATTAGTTCTAATTGTATTTTACACTAGCCCAGAAGATAGCACTCTATGATAATATATCAATAATATTATGATTTCATCTTCAGATGCCGGAGGATTTTTTTATTTAGTTTTGTCTTCTATAAGCCAGAATTTTTTTAAAGAAATAGAAGAAAAGTACACCAAATTTTTCCTATATATTAGTGCTTCCTTGTGTATACTGTGTGGTACTCTGTGGATTTAATGCTGTGAACTGAATGGTTTTTCCAGGTCCTATGCTACATGGAAATATAAGTTGACATGAAAGGCCCTAAATCTTTTCTTAAGTGAAATATTGGTATTTGAGTACAAATTCCATCTAGTTAGGTCATTTTAAAGCTATATTTTGTTTTCATAAATTTACCTTGCAAATATGTCAGTAGTAGTTGTTATTATTATCATTTATAGTACTTCCACTCACATAATGTCCATACATAGATTAGATATTGCTCTTTACAGAAATTGTTCCTTTTTCTTTCCCTTCACATCTAAAGTCAAAACAAAACTTGCAGTGTTTGAAAGGATGAAAACTGATGTGGTTTTCCTCCATGGTTCAAAGACCTTTAAATATCATTGGCTTTTAGAAACAAAATAAGTGCTAAATATTGGCCTATTCAAATAGAATCGTTGTATTCTTATGACTGGTACATAGTTTTCATTTATTTAAATAAGACAACATCACCCCCATAGAGGAGAATGAACTTAGGTTTGATTTTAGAGCGTTATCTTCTAAATGTATCACTTACTTTTATCTTTCTTTACATTTTTTTTTCTTTCATAAACTATTAAACATCTTCTATGCGCAAAGTTCTTTTCTGGAAATTGTGAACCATAATGAAGAAAACATAGTCCCTTGTTTACAGAACTTATTTCTTAGAGAAAATTAACATAAATAAGTACAACAAGTATTTTGTAAAACAGTGATAAGTGCAATGAAAAAAATATATAGCTGGGAAGGGAGGTGAACAAAACCAGCAGATATGTGTGCATATATGAGGGGCTTCCATTTTAGGTAAAAGTACTCAGAGAAAGTTTCAGTTATAAGGAACTTCTGTACAGAGACCTGCATGTAATTGTAAATCTCTTTTCCTTCTGAATTGTTCAGAAACGCCATTCCACATGGCAATCTGTAGTGACTACAGTAGGAGTTCACATTGTCTGTCAGGATGCTTTCTAAATCATTTGTTCCATTGCTTTCTGCCAAACTGAGAAGTTACCTAGAAATTGAATAGTGACAAGGAGCAGAGTGATCCATATGACTCCTTGCCAAGACCTCTGTCAATAAGAAATAGTCACTAGTTCCTCTTGGATCCACGTTACTTCCTGAATTTTTGCAAAGTGATTATGCTTATCCTAAGGCAGAACCTTCATTTCTCTTTTTTATAAAGACAATTTGTATTCCTATCTTCAGATTGCCGCATATGTCTAAGCCAAAGAGCCACTGGCCCTGTCTCCAAATGTAGGCAGAGTAAGCACTGTGAAGTTCTTCTCCAAAAAAAATAACTGAAATAGGTCCAATGTGTTTTCACTTGGTTACTTTTCACTATTCAATTTACAGAAGTTTCCCTTTCATTTTTCCATAGTAATAGCCAGTTTTTTATAAAAAATCTAGTAGATACTTAGCCATTTTAATTTATTATTTCATAGACACATTAAGATAGTAAGTACATTTTATTTGGGGATTAGTTTGGTCTTATACCCAGTTAAAAGTTCCACTTGTATCTAGGCAAAAAAGAAGATTTTTCTTTTAAATGATCAAGTTGTCATTTGCTCACATTCTATTAGAAGTAAATCTCTGATCTCTAAGTCCACATATATTTCCCCAGATTACAATCTTTTTCATAAAATAGTTACTTTGTATTTTATAATCCATTCAATTTTTCTACTGCATGTTTGTAAAATCTTTATAAATTCAAGCTGCCAAGTAGAATGTGCTATCAGAAAAAGTTAATAACATAAGGTAGTCTTGGGGAGAAAGAGCTTTATGGTAGATTCTGAAAAGTAAATGATGCATGAGGTAAAACTGTAAACAGAAAAGTCAGCATAAAGTGCAGTTTAGGTGATAATTTCAGTGTATTCTAAAGAAATAAAAATAAAAGTTTGAATTTTACTATTTGCCTCATCCTAAGAAAGTCTGTTAGTACAGTGATCATGATAGGTGTTAGATATTGGTTTGTAATTAACTCAGTGACTAGTCTCTTGAATGAGATGGCACAGATATTAGAGAACAGAGCAAGAACATGAACTCAGAGGCATTAATGAAGGTACTCCTTCATGTCTAAATAGTGGGGATTACTAGACAACCCTTGATAGGTGATAGATTTATTTGGAAAAAAAAAACTTTGTTTTTATCATTACCAGAAATCCAAGAATCCTTGGTAGATTTTGGTGTGTATGAATATATGGGTAACTGATAAACCCTGGGAAGTTCAGTCATGCCAACCTATTTTGAGTCAAAATCATAGGAAAACTCTCTAGTATATTATTTATTACTATCTAAATTGGAAGAAGAGAGAAAGAGGACAGAGAATTTGAATTCAAGTGTATTTGTGAGATACTTATCCATTTAGTAGAAATATTTAACTTCCATGTGAAATAGTTATATGTACATAAATTTGAAATGAAGTTTAAAATGAAGTAAAATTTTGATGTATTTTAAATATGCCTTGTATTTTAATATTAAAGCACTTTGAATAGATCTTACTATATTCTGAAATATTCAATTGAACCTACCTAGTGTCAACAGTTACATTTTTTTAAAAAAATTTTGGATTTTACTTTTGTTTCATTGGTTTGTGGGTTGGTTACTTTTTTCCCATTAGTAGATATTTATGTTGAAGTACATTAGTGGTAGCCCAATTAATAATTCAACAACTTGAAAAACACAATAGGCCAACTTATGTGTTACTCCCTCAAAATAAGAATATAGGTGACCTACGGAATGACTGAGAGTAGTAAAGGAAATCATGTAGCAGATAGCCGAGGTAATTCACCCAAACAGGAATTCTCTTTGATGATTTTTTTTCAAGGTAAATTTGGTCATCTAGGGTTACCATTATTGAGTAAACCAGGACATGTTTAAGGATTTAAAATGTGCTCTGTTTATAATTATACATAAAGCAGATGTAACATGGGCAGAACAGAGTTACTACCTCCCTAGTTAATCCTCAACATCTTAGATGTGGAGAATTTGCATGTGTAAAAGCAGTAGGATGCTTAGGTGAACACAGTGCTGTTCTCACTTTCCTGAAGCTGACTTGTATTCTTGATCTGGAGGGATTTGTGCTACTTCTGTTTCCCATGTAGAAAACCTTGGGGATAATTTTAAATGACCGGATCAAGTACTTTGACATTATGTCTTTAATCCCTCTGTATGGCTTGGACTGGAGAGTTGTTTATTACAGAAACTTTGGTGGTCATTGTTGTCAAATTATTGATCCCTTTTTCTCTTTTGATGTGTGATGGGGTAACTTGGCTTGGAAACTGTTCAGCCAATTCTTGCACAGTGAACTGGTGTGGTGGCTGCATGGCTGCTGACTGATGGTTTTGTTCCATTTGCAGGACCAGTGGTTTTGGCGAGTGAGAAACAACAGGGTGATGGATGGATACCCCATGCAGATTACTTATTTCTGGCGGGGCTTGCCTCCTAGTATTGATGCAGTGTATGAAAATAGTGACGGGAATTTTGTCTTCTTTAAAGGTAAGGCTCTTTTCTATAGCTGGCTATGTTGTATTTTGATCATGTTTTCCATGCCCTTGAAGCATGCATCCAGGTGAATAAGTAAAACTTCTTTAGAGAGATTAGGTAGTGAATGAATTTGATGACATAAACTACAGGTCGGTTGTAAATATAAATAAAGATAATTTTTCATGTTATTTGTTTTCTCATATATAAGTCACAAAGATAGGGTTTAGGAAATATTCTATTTTGTAGAACATTTCTAGTTGACTTGCTGGTACCCAAAATAAATAAATCAACATCTCTCCTTTATCTAAATCTGTTTTGAATTTTTTGTTTGATTTTAGAGTATGTTAGGTTGCTTACTTTTATTTTCAGTGAAATGTATTTCACAATTTAACTTTGTATGTAATCTTTGAAACCCAACCTGAAGGAATCAGCTTTTAAATAGTTTCCGTAAACTATGAAAGTATTCATTAAGGCAAGGGACATTTAGGAGAAAAAGAATACACACAGTTATCAGTATCATGAAATTTATTGTCTATTATTTGTCTGAGTGACAAAATTTAATAGCACAAGTGTTACTAACTCCCTAGTATGCAAAAATAAGATTATCTGGTAAAGTGCACTTCCCAAAGCCTATTCCTCAAAACTGGCTAACAAACAAAACACTGAGCCTTAAATCTGTGGCAGTAAAACACAAGGACAAGAAATAGGAGTTGGAGGATTGAGGGAATTGTGCAGAGACCATGCATGAGCTCAATCTGAGGAGAACAACAATGAGGAAAGAACAGGACTGAACATTTCTCCAAGACCCAGCAGGACTGAAAGTAAGCTTACAAAAAGATACAGGATAAAGACGCAATAAAAGAAAAAATAAAATTAAAAAACAACACAAATAAAGATATAAGATAAAGGAAGGAAAAGTGGATCTTATCCAAAAAAAAGTAATTCTTTCAGAGTCATACTAGAAGAACTTGTGCTAACAATGACAGTAGTGAAAATTGCATCTGGAAAACAATTTAGTAAGTGAGGTTCAAACTATCTATTAAAATGAAATTGAACACTTGAAACGTATTCTATCTTTACAGATTGTTACTTGAAAAAAGTCTGAGTAGTACATTAATTATAAGATTATGTAGGTTCTGGAATGATATAAACAATTTTGAATACTTATTGGCTGCATGAACTAGGCAAAACACTCAATATACACTCAAAACACTCTATTTACCTCAGCTTTCTCATGTCGAAAATGAGGTTTGTATTATCCCCTACTCGGGATTGTTTTGAGGTCTAAATTATTACTACATGTCCTTTATTCCCTTTCCCCAAATGAAAAAATGGAAATAAAGTGTTTGTAAATGGGGAGGGGAGAAAGGGGTGAAGGGAGGGTAGGGACAAGGGGAGAAAATGAGAACCAAGACCTGTCATGTAAAGGTACAGGATCCCAGTAATGAATGTAACTGTACTGTATACCTAGATTGTACCAATAAACTCAATAAAAATAAAAAAATAAATGATTACTACATGTCAAGTATTTATCAAGTATTTGGAGATTTATATGATCTCAATAAATGCCAGCTACTGCTGCTACTGGTAAGTTTGCTATGAATATCATTGCCCTCCTGCAGTTCTATAATAAATGTATAAACAAAGGGGCAAGTAACGTACCACTGTGGACAAAGCAAAGATGCCACCTAAAGACTCTGAATCTCTGGAAGGACATTTCTTTTCTCTGCACTTTCTTTGGTCCCAATTTTAGCAGGAGAAAACAGGAGGGAGGTCCTTTCTCATCACAGATCAACGGAGCACTCTGATGAAGCTGCCTGAGGAGAAACTGCCACAGTCATGAGTCTGTGTTGTGAGAGCTCTTTAATGCCTCGGGGCTTTCTTCCTTTTATTCTGTCTGCCTTCCCTCACTCACTTGTGGAATGGCTGGCTCCTTTTCATCTTGCAACAGCCAGTGGAAGTGGCATGTTCTCAGAGTGCCTTCCTCTACCTCTTTCAAGTGATACCACCCAACTGGTATGCAGCACTTGTCAATTATTCAAAATTACCCACAAGTTCAAATGTGATTTCACTCTGAGATGGATCTTGTTTCTATTTTCTCGACACCACTGTATTTTCAGTTCCCAAACACTACTCCATGCTTAGGAGGTGTTCAACAATCATTTAATAAAATCACTATCATTGAACACTGATTTGATTTTGTATGGTGAGTCTTCAATGGTGCTAACAACAGCAATATCTATCGCTCTTCACACAACAGGTCATGATCTCTACTGATAGCATTATCAGTATCAGGGCATGCCCAGCCTTAAAACTTTTGTCACTCTAGGGGCATAATCTGCTGCTTCCCTCCTGTTCAGGCTTACCACCACCTTCTAATAAGCCTGTCAAGGCCCAGCTAGGACATATACTCTCTGGCTTTGATATGGTTTGGGTCTAGATGTTCCCCCAAAGCCTCATGTAGTCATAGGTGAGTGAATCCAGAATGCAGGATGCTAGGATTAAGGATGTGCGATTACTAAACCACTATATGCCCTAATATATGTAGTCTAAATAAGATAAAAGGAACAGAAAGACACGGTCCTTTCTTGCCTTTGCTACCTTGTGCACACCATGTTGTTTCTCTTCTATGATGCTTGTTTGTAATCCTACTTTGGAGCCAGCCGATTATGGACTGAAACCTCTATGAAATGTAAGCCAAATAAGCCTTTCCCCCCTTAACCTTGGGTGCTGTGTATTCTGTCTGAGCAATGAGAGAAAAATGACTGTGATTAAGCCAGGCTCTAAACACCATTGCTATCCAGACGGACCCAGAAGCTCTGGGTATTCCCAAGACAACCTTCCCTCCTAGTCCCTGCTTCACCACTGGCAGGAAAGAAGTAGGAGCCCCAAACACCTAGGCTTCTAATGAGAAACCTCCACTTCAATCAAAATGACTGTCTCTGCTTGGCAACTCTCTGTGGCCTTCTTCAGTGGAAAAAACAAACAAACAAAAAAAACCAAAAAAACTCAAATAACTTCATTCCCAAGACTGCCATACTATTTTTCCTATGTGCTGAGAGGCGATCTGTACTCTCTAACAGCCCGATCCCTGGCCTTACTATAATTTTCTGCGTACCACCTGACTAACTGCGTGTTTCCTCCATGTGCTTCTTATCCGTAGCTGTCACTGGTGTATCAGCCCTACAATGGAACGACATTTTGCTCTTTTTTTTTCTCTTTTGTATTTTAATATTCCCAATATCTTAAACCAATATTTGAAAAACTTGCTTGTTACTAGCAAATAATAACTGTTGTATGTTTTGTAGCATGTTATAATCTTTAATTCCTCCGGGGGCTACTCGAGCTAAAACCTGTACCTTTGTACAGAGGTGCATCCCCAGCACGTTTATTTATTTATTGCTTAATTTTTAAAACCGAGTCTCTCGAAGTCATCAAGTTGTCCAGCCTGGGCTCCAACTTGAGATTCCCTCGCCTTAGCTTCCCAGAAATCTGGAATTGCAGGAGTGTACTACTGCACTTAGCTCTGTTTGTTTATCTTTTCAAAAATATAAACTTTATTCTTAAATCATAGGCTTAACCAAAAAAAAATTCCATGGATCATATCTTGGTTATCACAGACATCTGTCTCAGTGATACCTGTAATGGTAAAAACAAAGACGCAGGCTCATTCCAGTCTGTCTCAGTCACACTCTACCACTGTTACTAATGGGGTTAAGCATTACTCTGCTTTAATTTGTTCTTTTCTTTAGCCCTCTTTGCCTTCCTTTTCTTGGTCTTTGTTTTGTCCTTCCTCTTCTTTACAGTGATCATCCTTTATGTCTTTGCCTTCTAATTAACAATGTACAGTAACACTTGCATTTGATCAATCTTATCTTTTATTTTGTATAGTTAACCAAAGTCCACATTTAGGTATAAATGAACTTATTGTATATGATAAATTCTATATTATTTCTTAATTGTATTTCTAAAAGGCAGGATCTTGCTGTGTGCTTCAAGCTGGCCTTGAGCTCACTATGTAGGTTAGACTTCCTTCAAACTTGTGGTGATCTCTGTGCTGGGACTACCATGCCTGGTTCAATTCTATATCTTTAATATGAGCTCATTGTTTTTTTCCATAAGTACAGTATCCAAAGATGTATATTAAGGTGGTTTCTGCTCTTCAGCCAAAAGGCAATAATAAAGATCAAATTTATCACTGCCCCTGAAAATGCAAAAAATAAAAATAAAAGAATTACTTTCAAGACACTGGCTATCAAGAAGCACAAAACTGTGAACCCAAGATTTAGAAAACAAGGAAAGATGAGTCCTGAAACTCTTGCAGATTCCTATCTGGGTGGAGTATCCAGGATGTGGCAAAAGGTCAGGGAACTCTCCCAACTGAAGAAACAGCCAAGACTTCAAGGAGAAAAGTTGGCTAAAGTGTACAGGAGAAAATAATGTGGACGAGAGAGAAGAGAGAGTAAGGAATAGGGTGAAAGCCTTGAGATGAGCAGATAGACCCTGTGAAGGCTGGAGAGAACATTGCTGAGGGTGTTTAAGGAAACTACAATGTAGAGAATCACTCTCCAGGAATAAAAGGAGCAGCATCTGGTACTCACTGAGGGCCAGCATTACCTGTTCCCCTTGCTACATATTCCTGAGTACTGGATAGAGATATAAAACAGGTCTCTGCTGCAGCAGTGAGGAAGAATTAATCTGGCATGAGTACTACCTTGACCCTGCCTAACAAACATTCAAAGTAGGATGTGACGTGTTCACATCATTACCAAGTAATGGTTTTAGGATGAAGTTCAGGGATATTTACAAGAATGCAAATTTATGTATCCAAAAATGTAAAATATATAATTCAGTACTACTTCAGTTCATGAACTTAATTTGTTCTAGGATTCTGGAAAACATGGTCATGTTCATGTTTGTGTGGGAAAGATGACCGCAGTTGTGTTCATCATCTAATGCAGAATTCACAAAGAAAAACGCAATTTTGCCAGTGTATCTCTTTGCAAACTAAA